TGCGAGTTTCCTCGCCGGTGGCATGGGCAAGTTCCTCATAGGTCAAACCCTTGAGGAACGCCTTATCGATATCCATGGATGCTAAGATCCACTCTGGATGGCATGCCGCTTCACTTGCCAGGAGTCGCTGGGACTGCCTTCGGGCGGTTCCCGAGAATGTTTCCACGTCAAAAGCCTCAGTATCCATAAATCCACGAAGGACCAGTCTGAGACAAATGGTTTTAACGCTCTCGGTACCCATCTTTACGAACTTCCACTTGTATACATACCTGGATGTCATGATGTCATGATGTTGGAAGCATCGGTTATCAATCCAGATTTTGAGCTCAGTATACAAAGCTTCACTAACCTCCTTTGGATGTGCTGCTATGTCGGCTTTGGTCAGTAGATCATCTTCTTTGACAACCACAGCACGTTTAGCAGCAGAGGATACATATACTCTCATCGTTGCGACCATATCGGTATCGACCTGTGCAAGTTGAGTCTGATCCAACACTATTTTTGACATTTCTGATGTAAAGCATAATTCAACGTAAGGACCATATTCATCACTGTCAAGATAGAAGCTCTCGTCGGTTGTGGTTGAACAAAGAGAGACTAGACAGGACTCACGTGATTTCGGCTCGTCTCCGAGCATATCTGATGATATAATATCATCCTCGTCCACAAATGCTGAAACCAAAACACATTGGTCGGGCAACATAGTTGTTGGGACGCAATAAAGATAATCATCGGTAATCGTCGTAGGATGAAGGTCCATACGTAGCTCGTCGTACCACTCTTCCAGCATCATAGCTTCGATATTGTATTCCTCATTTTCCTCATAGATTGTCGACAGACGGCCTTCACTCGGCGATGAAGCATCTGGTGTGTCTGGAGAAGGCCTGTTTCCAGGCGACTCGTGTTCTTCAGACGTGTTGCTTGAATGCTGATATTTAACCAAATCGTCGTGAAATCCTGAGGAAGGGACACGTGAAGTCAAGCATTGAATAAGTCTGGAGTGAGTGCTACCAGTGATCTGAGAAATGTTTAAGCCGGTGCCCACACATTCGTAATAGTGGAACGCCGGGCTGATGTCGTTGTCATAGTGGGTCAGCGTAGACCCGGTGGCGTACTTTACTGCAGGTAGGCTTGACACACTCTTAGCCAATCGAACTGCTACTACATGTTCTACTCGGAAGTAATTTCGCACGAGATATTGTAGTGCTAAGTGTACGCGCGGGTGAAACTTGCTGTCGTCAGACAGATTAAGGTTTCCCTTGTAATCGGGGATATAACCGAAAACTTTGGCAGGTTTCCCTGCGCCGAGGTGTGCCACATAAGCAAGGACGGTTTGCACGGCCATATTATCCATGCCAAGTTCCCGTGTGAAGAGACATTTGATGTATAGTGTGTGACGAGCATCAGGATACATCACAATTACCTCACGAGATCCTGCCTTGACAACAATATGTCCTCTTTCAGGCACATTTCGGATCACCGGGAATGGGCCATTCCAGCCTCCATGGTCG